GCACATGGATACCCCTGCAGCCCCTCCCCACCCACTGCAGCAGGAGTTATTAAGACAGAATTTGATGCTTGTTCTGATAGCACCTGCCCAGCTTCATGATCAAAGCTTTATTACTGTTTGCAAGAAAAGGAAAAGAAAAATACTCTAGAGGTAAAACAAAAATCAGGAAAGACTTTTGCATCTGATTTCTGCCTTACTATGAGCAGCAATTCAAGGTCAAATGAATAAGCCATCTAGGTTGGTATCCTGTCCTGTAGGTACGAGATGTATAGCCAGGACTTCTGTGATCAGAGGACAGAATTACATAGGAACTTCTCTTCATCTACATTTGAAGTGCTGGATTAGGAGACAAGGATCCTTCCTTCCTTCCTGACCTCTGCAGAACCAACAGACACCAGAGCATCCACATCTCACCCAAGCCTAACCATCACATCTATTACCAGCTGAGCAATCACCTCCTCTAAAACCCAACCAAAGCAGAAGAGCCATGAACTTGCTGGAGCACTTGTACAGGATGACCACGCGTTGGGAATCACCTGTGGTCTCACCCTGCAGCTCACAAAGTTACAGTTTGTTTTCCATTACTTGTCCCACTTCATCTGTTCTGCTACTGCTTTTTGAAAAAGGTTTTTACTGAGACAGGTACTTATTACTTTTTCTGTCACTCTAGCCTCATACTATTAATTCTCTCACTTTGCCAACATCAACTGTCTCATCTTGTGTCCTCTATTCCTTCTTCTTACATCCTTGCCCCATACCAAACTAACTGGGCAAAGGATTCAAAGATGCCATCTTCAATGTCTGCATTCACCTGTTGTCTTTGACTCTATTTTTACATGCATCTCGAACTGCCTAATTACCCATCTGCATATGCACAGAGGGGCCATCAGAGTTCAACCTCTGAGAGCTCCCTAAAAGTTCACTGACTGGAAGAATTATCTTCCAACACTCAAAGAAAGCTGCACCCCCAGGTGAACTTGGCAGGTGATGTAACAGGAGCATGAGCCTCAATGCTGGAGGATGACTGTGAACCCCATCTGTAATCAAACAAACTGAAATGGGGATAAATTGGAACAGGGAGTTGTACTTGTGGCTGCCAGCACCTGGGGACCAGCTATTCCCATTTAGCCTTCTGATCAGAGTGAGATGGAAGTGCTGCCCAGGGATTTTATATCCTACTATGGGGAATAAGCACAGTTCAAGCCTTTGATATTTGTTTTCTGACAGACTCTCTTCCTGAAGTGAAATAGCTTTAAATAGTGTAGAGGCTGGGGCTGTAATGAGCTATAGCACAGCAGGGTTTTAGAGAGAGCTGGAGAACGATAAGATCCAATCCCTGGTGTCAGTGAGATAAAGTGGTTTATCTGGGTTTCCACACAGGGGAGAGTTAGCTGCTAGACCCAGCTGAAAGATAGTGGGCTGGCAATCAAGGAGATTACAAGAAGAGATAGACTTACTGGGTTTGCTGTTTACAAAGCCAGCTGGGCTAAGGCAGAATGGACTCCCCAGGAAAAAAACAAACCAGTTATTCAACACAATATACAGACCCACTAACCTGAAAGAGGGGAGGGAGAATCCAGCTGTTGGACAAGCTGTGGGAGGGGCAATTCAACCTTGTCCTCCTCTGGCCCCCATCTGCTCTTCCTCTTCTTTTTAGTAGTGCCTGGAGCAGTAGCTGTAGGTGTTGTCGCAGCAGCAGCGGTGGCAGCTGCCTGATCAGGTGGAGTTGTAGAGGATGAGGGTGAAGGTGAGGGCAAGGGTGAGGGCACAGGCAAGGGCAAAGGTGAGGGAATGGGCAGGGGCAGAGGAGAGGGAACAGGCAAGGGCAGGGGAGAGGGAATGGGCAGGGGCAGAGGTAAAGGCGGGGGAACGGGCAAGGGTAAAGGTGAAGGAACTGGCAAAGGCAAAGATGATAAGCACGAAGGTGATGGTGATGCCTCGGGGCTGGTCTTCCTTTTCAGACTGGATTCTACAGGCAGGGGGGCAGACACCGGGCTGGGTTTGGCCTTACGGAACTCCTCCAGTTTCTGCCGGTAATACTTGTAGCCTTTGCTGTTTGGTTCATATAAAAACCTACAAAGAAAAGAAAAACAAACAAAGAAAAGAAAAGAAAAAGAAAGTTTAGATGTCAAAGTCCTATGCAGGGGTTGGATACAGCACAGTTTGGTCAGAGCTTTTCTTTCCTGCAATGCTCTTGCACAACCAGCCTTCCCACAGGCTTCCTTGCTCTCCAGCACCATCCTGTGTGTATGTGTGTGCCATGCAGGGCTCCCCGCGTGCTCTTGCAAGGCAGGCTGCAAGCCTTTGGGATCAGGAAACCTATTTCCCATTCATCAGCAAACCACAGCTATTTTTGGTGCCAAATAAATACACAGTACAAAAAAAAAATCCTGTTACATTTGTGGAAATGCAAAGTCCTCCCCCAGAAATCACCTGCCTTCCAGAATATGTTTGAGGAAAAAACTGCAGGGGCTCTAAAACATGTTGGGTTTTAGTTCACAGAAGAAAACAAACATTCAGGCCTTACCAATGGGAATGCCAAACCACTGCCTAAAGAAACTGCTCCCAAGTCTCTATTCAAGCTAGAAGCATTGACATTACCAGTCTGCTTAATGACACCATGACTCCTCCTTCTGTTCCCATTGCTTTATTTGCTACCCCTTCCAGAAATAGGCATCTCTGACCTTTTGGGTAAAATAAAAACTCCTTAGTCTCTGTGGGAAGAACATGAATAATCCTCAATCTAACAGTTACACACACAAAAAAAATCAATACAGTCATGTTTGTTACAAACACTTTATCTTTTTGGGCTCACTCCAGTTTAAATACTTCACACAGAAAACCTGTCTATTCCTAACTCCTCTACAATCTTCCATTTTCAGAGGACCAGTTTAATATTTGATGTAACCTCTCCTTGGGATAGTGCCTGCTTCCATGAGAAAACGTAGGAGACAACAGGCCTTTCCCATCTACCCCAGCACAGCATGCACAGGCAAACACAAACAGCTCTCTGATGTATTCTAATATTTACTAAACGTGGTCCTGCATCCCTCCATTTGTCTAACAGCATTAGGAATTGCTTCAGGACTGAGCAGAGGGCAGGATGGGGCCCTCCCTACAGCAAACCTGATGAAATCCCAGCAGAGAAGATGGTGTCTAGCGTGACCGTGCTCAGGTGGGATCACAGGGGTGTGTTTTAAAGTAAATAATGAAGCAGCTCAGGTATTAGCACATCTGTCTAATGGAATCCACAACACAAGGGGAGTACTCCAGAGGGCCAGAAGGCAGCCAATAAAATGCCAAAATATCAGCAACAAAACAAGGTTTGTCGAGTCCCACTTCGCTTCCAGAGAACACACCAAATTATTTGTAAGAGCAGAAAAATATAACATGGATGAGACCAAAGGGAGGCATTAAACAGCTGTCAGTGAGCACTGAAGAGAACAATTCATATCTGAAAGGCTGAAAGAGGTATTCCAAAGGGGGAGCTAACAGTGAAGAAGTGCTACCTGCACGTTAGTGAAGATGCTGTGTAAAGAGCAACCCAGGAAATTAATTGGACAGCAGTGGTATGAGTGGTGGATGGGGGCCCACAGCAAAACACAGCTATAGGGAAAAGTTTAAAGGTGAGAATTATACTGGCACATTGCAACAGAAAGCAGGTGAGGAGGGGTGGAAGTTGTAAATTAATTTTGGGGGCAGCAAATCCATTCTTCTCTCTGTGCCTTGCTTTAAACTGTGAAGCCTGAGAATATGGAAGCATCAGTGCTCTGTAAGTGCACTGTCCTTGTAACTTCAGACTTATCACAAGTTTCTCTATTATTTCCTGTTTTAAAAAAAAAATCAAAAGCAAACCCACCCAAGCCCCTTCACATGACACTCATAAGCAAGTTTCTTCCCTTACCTGAAAGCATGGTTCTCTCTGTTGTTCTGCAAGGCAATAGCTTCCACCTCGGGACCCCCGTCTGCTACGAACCTGGCCAGTTTCTCAGCAGAATTCTTTGTCTCTTCGTCGTCTGGGGGTGAAACTTTAAGCAGGCTGTCAGTACTGGGCCCAACTCACACAAGCAACAGTCAAAGCCTATCTGTTCTAAGAACCCCAAGAGCAGAATAAGGGCAAAAGGTCGAGTTTAATTTTTTTTAGGAATATTACACATCAACAATCATAAGAGTTTATATCACAAAAACATGGTATCTCATAAGGTTGTACAACAACTCTGTAACCAGGGGAGTGCCCGTTCACACACCAGCTTCCTCTGTGCCAGGAGCCAGATGAGACCAGATTAACAGACAAACCAGCTTTTGTCTTCAAAGATGGGACTCTTGTTTCTCTCTACTGCAGAGGAAGTCTTTTTCTTCCCTGTGCCAGGCAGTTTTCCACAGGGTTACACCTCAGCACTTGCAATTATCTCTAGTTAAGCCTTAGAAAACGTGGCAAACTAATACTGCACCGTAATCCCACTTGTACCTACTGTCCCTACACATCTGCTGGCCATTTCAGGGGAGGGTTATAGGACAGAGGAAATTCTCCATGGAACAGTCCCAGTGCTCACATGGAAGAGGTGGCTACTAAATCCTTCGTCCAAAGGCACAGAGAAAGCTCTGATCATTAACATTTCAAGTGTATTTGATGTTTATAAGGAGCCAGGCAAATAGGTTATTTAGCCACGACAGCCTTATATGACATTTGCTACCTGCACAGTACCAGTGCCAGTACTCCAGCGTGCTGGCACAGGACCAGGAGGCAGAAGACATGATTATAAGCCATGGACAAGTCACAACCTTTACTTGTTTCAATATTCCACACCTGTAAAGTATGGATAATACTGCTTAGCTTCCAAACTGTTGCATCAGTGAGTTGATATTGGCAACAAGCTCTGTCAGCCTACGGTCTATTAAATCAGGAGTTGTTTGAGCTGTTAACTCATCAGCATGACAGCTCAATTGTATTAAGACTCCTTTCCACAGTGAAGGAAGCTGACACAGAGAGGTTGAGCAATTTGCCAGGACCATGTGCCCTGAAACAGAGGTTGGACTAGAAGCAATAAATGCCTGGCCCGCAGACCACACTTCACCCACTCATTTCTGTCCCTTAACACAGTGAACCAGATTCCACTGCCCACACCACCTGTCTGTTGGCAGATCACCCACTTCTGCTGTTTTCCCACTTAAAACCACAGCCCCTTACTTGTAAGGACTTATGTCCCAAACAGAAAATAAAAAGATTCAGTTTGGGAAAGAGCAGCAGAAATGGGGATCACGGTCACCAAACCAACCAACTGTTTTCATTGATAACAAACATCTGAGAAAAAGCACTTTTCAGGGCTGAAACACTTCCAGAACACACACAACAGAATCATTTTAGTTTCCTTTGTTAAGGATTTTGGAGAAATATCAAGAAAATCTCTTTCAAGAGCCCTTTACACAGAGCACAGTATAGTGTGCTGAGGGCTTGGGAAACAAGCATTTTGGCACAAGAATCTGATGCCATCAGGGTGATGTTTGATCACCATCTCCTTCCATTTTGAAATTTTATTTACAGGCACCAGACTAACAGCCAAATATCCACTCCAGCTGTTTCCAGAACAGACCTAACAAGCAGTTACAGAGAGAGTGAAGAATTAAAATCATGCATTTCAGAGGGTATTCTCCAGATCCCTGTCTTAATTACCTTTCTGAGAAGAGGATGTCTGAGAACTTTGATTCTCTTTTCTTATCTCTGCCACTTTCTTTCTGTAGTAAAGGAAATCTCTGCTGTTCTTATCATGCAAAAACCTGGAGATGGAGGGGAAAAAGGGCAAAAAATATACATTAGCAACAACTATACACAAATATTGATACTTTGGGATCTAAACAGTTCAAAACCAAAATATACAGAATAGATAAATTACTCATAATGCACTTAAAATGTGGATTACAGTGTCTTCAATGTGTTTAAATACACACAGCTTTAATCTAAGGACTTGCATCCTAATTTTTCGAGTCACTTGAAGAAGGGAAATACCTAACAGTCTCTTCTGAGGTAAGAGGGAATCCTCTGTCCACAGCCACACAGCGTGTGAAGGGCAGAGGAGGCAGAACCAGTCCGAAGATCCAACCCAGTATCCCATACCCTAGGGGAAGACCTCCCAGGCTGTATTCCCAACTCCAGCTGCTCTGCCTCCTCAGCACCACCACAGTATTGCTTCCTGCCTCAGTTTCCCCAGCTATTAAACAAATTATTTGCAATAAATCTCAAACCCACTAAATGAGAATTAAACCAAACACATCCAGGAGGACTATATACACACACAGCTGATGTTTTTCTCCCACAGACAGCGTTATGTTTTGGAAGACAAAGAGTTATCAACCACACTTACGAAAAAGATGGGTTATCCTTGTAGTTTTCCATAGCGAACTTCTCTAATTCTGGTCCCCCTTCAGCCACGAACCTAGCCAGTTTTTCCACCACTTGTCGGGTCTCCGCATCCTCTGGGGGTAAAACTTTAAGCAGGCTGTCAGTACTGGGGTTCAACTCACACACCAAACAGGCAACAGGTACATTACTTCTAAGAACCACGGCGGCAGACAAAAGTAGAACGGGAACGGGAAGAAAAAGGATGAAATGGGGGATCTGGTCTCACACAGCTGTACAAATTACAATCCCTAGGTTACTGTCAGCCTCTGCTCTCCCTCAGGAGGGAGTTAATATTTTCTCTAGATTTTTCCTACAAGGAAAAGCCCAGGATTTGGATCAGCACAGTTTAAGGTGCAACTTCAATTGCAACTGAATTTGTTTCTGATGATTCTACTCCATACAAAACACAACGGGGAGGAACAGGGATTTGGTTTTAACTACCACACTACTCACTAAAGATCAGAGATTTCAGTTCCCAAGATATTGCTCTGTACTCCGACAGTAGAGACAGATTGTGTAGCTGGAGCACGTAGTTCTTCCTACTGGCACATGCCTACGCCTCAACCCTCACTTGGAGGGAATCCCACCAGAGATAAGAGGAGAGCTCAGTCTCCAGGAAACTGTATTTTGGCTTCTGTGCCAAGAAAGGAACCCACTAACAGCGATTACAGAGCTGATGCAGGACATATTCAGTGAGAACTAAACACAAGCATTTATCTAGACAATATTTTGGGTAGGATAGGGTGCTGAACAAAGAGCACACAGGAGCAGAGCTGTCCACACTGATCTAGACCCACGATCTTTAAATTCAGGGTCCATATTCCAGCAGTGGCTATTTCTGACATCCCTGCATTGCATTTCAATGCTTAAATTCAGACTGGTTAAGATTACGCTTCTATAAATCCCACTAGAAATAGCTAGACATGGTTTTGTAAACATATAATGAAATAAATTATGACACAAAGCTGAGTGTGACTTATTTAGCAACTCCAATCTAATTTTATACTTGATTAACACACATGCATGAAATTCAGATTATTAAGCAAATCTGCCTTCTGGCATCCCAGCCTAGGTTATCCAGAGAAACTTGGCTATTTCAGTGCTGCAATATTCTTCTTTGGTTTTCTATCTAACTTAAAGTAGTCAGGACCTAGAGGTGAGATTTTTCTAAGGAAATTTTGGAAAGAGGCAGGAACTTTGATTTTACCTTGTCATAGTTCCACGCCTTACATGTTCTTTTATATATTATACAATCTTATTTATTAACACATTTTCCCCCCTACATAGCCACACCCAAACTGAGGACTTTTCTTCATTTCCTATAATTTAAAACCCTAAAATTCCATGTTAAATACAAGCATTATATCTGTACATGTGCTAGAGAACTCAGCATTAGCCCCATCAAATCTCAATTGTACAAAAGCAGAATTACGATTAGCAAACAATGAAGCTGCATTAAGAGTAGAATATATTTCTTCCCTACAAATTGTTTTTCACAGAGATTTACAGACTGGTCAAGTGCTTTCCTTGATAACTCAGAGAAAATAAATCTTATAGGCACAAAACAGATCCAGTCTAACCATGGTGAGTGACTCATTTCCCATATCGAGTTCAGGCTGGATCAATAATATCTAACAACATTCAGTTCTCTGGTTTTCTGCTGAAGCTGCCTTTGGAGGAGTCCACCAGCAGTAACTGGTGTCATTTATATTTCATGATGCAGAAGCCTGCACAGAGGAACTGTGCTAAGAATACAAATTCACAGCAAAAGGAAAACAAATAAATACATAAATAAAATCTTTACTGCAGAGAAGATCCTCCTGTCACTAGGGTTAAGCGAATCCCACAACAAACAACGTAGCACAAGGTGTCATTTACCTTTAATTTCCAACCACTGCTCATAATCTTCTTCCTCATCTTCATCTGGTGATTGAAACACACTGAGGCGGTTAAGGACCGGGGTCTGTTTGGAATGGGAGTAGTTCTTCGCTTGGTGCAACATGCTGCTGAGGACCTGACCCGGGCGCTTCCCAAACAGCAAAGGTTTCTTCCCAACATGTGGTGCAGAAGTGTTTGCCGAGTTATTAGTAGAACTTGGGGGAGATTCTTAGAAAAGAATGAGGGGGGGAAAAATAATTCCTGTGCATCCTTATTGTTTTCATCTCAGCAGGTTATAAAGAACAAAGTCAGGCAGTAATACAGCTGCAATAGGCTGTTATTTTCAGAGTAAGTTAAAGACACTGACTGGTAAAAGCTGCAAAAAGACACAAAAGCTGCCAGGATTTTTACAAAGCTGAGAATTAAGATGTTTATCTTTACAGTACCTATAAG